GTCGCTTAAGTTTCGTCGGAACGAAGTTACGGAAAATCAATTAATAAACGGAGACGTAACAATATAATCATAGTCTTTAACTTGTGGTGAGCTGTACGTCCTTAATGTACTGTAGTATATAGTTACAGTCTCTACATTATGGTGAGCTGTACGTCCTTAATGTGATCAAAGAATCAATGTGAAGCATGGGGATTGACCATTGAAAGAAGAAAAATACGTCGTAAACGAATGCCAGGTGAAAATGCAGCTGATGCTGGACTGACTGCTGAACAGGAAATTTATCGCATCATGAGGGATGTTATTGATCACTTGATTACGGAAATAACAGGAAGATTTTCTCGCTTACTGGATTTAGATTCACGGTTTGGATTTTTACTAGATGTGCAAAATATTGTTTCTGGAGATTTCGAAGACGAAAAATTGCAAGAAAAATGTTCTGACTTAGCAAAGAGCTATCCAGGTGACATTGATGGACCAGAATTGTACAGAGAAATTAAAGACTGTAGAATGTTGATAAGTAAAAAGAACACAGACCGATTTTCCTGAACCAATGGTTGCAACTGATTTGCTAACGTTTATAATTTCATATGGTGAAGATGTTTTCCCAAACTTAAGAATTGCATTGCAGATTTTGTTAACAATTGGGGTTTCTATTGCTAGTTGTGAAAGGTCCTTCAGCAAGCTGAAATTAATTCTTGCATACTTGAGAACCTCACTGACTCAAGAACGACTTAGTAACTTGGCAATATTAAGTGTTGAAAAAGACGTACTTAATACCTTAAATTTTGATAGTTTAATTGATGCATTTGCAGCAGCAAAAGCACAAAAGGTTCATATAATGTAACAATGAATACTAAAATGCTACCTGTACAAGATCTACTTAGGTATATGCACAGTTTTGTAAACTAATAAAAAATTTTATTTGTAAACATAAGTAGTATTTTATCAATCTGTTTTATAATCCATGTACACCACAAATGACTGGCTTCTCATATAAAACATAAGTTTCAAAACTAGGGATATAACAGAAATGTATTCTGCATGCTTGAAAGATTACTCTAGCTATGTGACTTTGAACAATACTGGATGACATAAATATCAAAATGGTTTACAAATTATGTAAGTACACCTAGTAGGCTATACTTCATTAGTTCCAGGTTTACAGTTGTGATATCGTGAGATGTTATATTGTGACTTTATTTTAGGCCTGTGTAAGGCGGTAATTAATTCTTTATGTTATTGTCATTAAGTGGGTAATGAGCCACAAAACAAATAATCAAAACATTTCAGAGGTGGGGGCGTCAAAAGTGTCTTTGCCCCCGGGTGCTGAGAACCCTTGCTACGCCACTGGAATGAGGCATTAACAAAAATAGGTATTTTATTACGAAACCTCAATTTTGAGGTTGGCTTTTTTATCTCCGTGTGTTTTACTAATTCAATCATCCGGTCGTTTATAGATTATACTAACAAAATTTGAGATATAATACTTTGGTTTATTTTAGTCATATAATTACATCATCTTGTTAAAAATAATGTTGTAATACTTCACACCAATGGGTTATTTTGCGGGTTTCTGCTTTACTAATAAATTATAACTTCAAAATGTAATAGGCCTAATAATAATGAATTATGTCAAGGATATTAACACTCTTTAGGTAACAGTTGAACACTTGCTGAATTTTCAGATGGTGTATAAAAATAACAGCATACAAAGCTCAAAAAAATACCGTAATAATTTAATTTATTTTGTGATATTAAGTTTAGGTTATCTGTAAACATCTTTTGAAAATCATTGTAACACTTACCGTTTTCTCTGTAATGTATCATCCATTTGTTAAACATGCTAAGATACTTGGATTTTTTGGGTAGAGCAAAGCCGTATCCTGTAGTGGCGTACCAAGAACCAACAGTCAATAACCTGCATTCGTTGTCTTGTCCGGCCAGGTATTCAAGGACAGTGGCGTCGTATACAAAGGCGTCCAGCTTCCTAAAAATTAGATACCGTTAATATACTATATCACAATAGGGGCGTCCAGCTCCTTACAAAGTACATACTGTAAATACAACACATCAGAGCGTACAGCTCACCACAAGTTAAAGACTATGATTATATACTACACAGCTGCTTCTCTAAAATTAATTTTTGAGTCCTGAAGACGTTTCTGCACTCGATTGATAGATGATAAAAGATTTCTCCAAAAATACAAAAGTACATAAAATCAAATGTAAGCATACGTTGCAGAATATTATGAGCACCACATTTTGTTTCAGCCATGTTGCCATTCTCACTTAATTGCTCTAACAGTCCTAGCAATTAATCCAGTTTTTCATGTACAACTTTTACTGCCTTTTTTCTTGCGCTACACTGTGTTTCTGAGTCACTCTTGACAGAGATCTTAAGCTCCTGCTGTAGTTCGTCTCATCGAGATGTTGAATGAGCAAATAAATTATAAATGGCTTCAATTATACCAAAAAAGGTAATAACTGTTGTTTCCTGACTTGCCGCATGAAGACATGCTAAGTTCAATCTATGGTTGTCATAGTTTATAAACACTGCTTTTGGATTTTTGTTCAGAATTCTTTGTTGAACGTATGACAGATGACCTGACATGACAGCAATATTATCATAACATTGTGAACAACAATCACTCAATAAAATTCCAT